GAGTTGAAAATATTCATTTATTTTATAAGTAAAAATTTTTGTCAACATTGAAAATAGTAATTTCAGTAGAATGGGGTTTTTGAAAAATCGTTTATGAAGGCCTTCATAAAAGCCCTTCATCACCTAACTTTTCTCCTAGTAAGTCACTTTCATTTCTCTCTCATCACATTTTTAAAAGGCAATAATTCAATTTGCTCATTTGATTTAGGAAGAAAGGAAAAAAAATCCTTCCTTTGTCACAGATACAATGACTACCAATGACTCAAGAGATGTTTTGGCATGTGTCAAATCAGAAAACAAGACAAAGTRCTGTTTCAGTCTTCTGATAATAAAACTTTAAATATTCTGGCTAATTGAAATCAAGAAAAAAGAGAGGTGTCAAAAATGCAATATTTAAAATGTGAAAACAYTGACCTGAATAGATATTTCACCAAATGGAAGTTATCAAGGAAAAATTTATAAAAAGGAAAAGTTTTCCCCAGCCTTCTCTGTTGACATACAAAATGAAGACTATTCAAAGTGAAACTKGGTAATAAATATTTACCAATTTAATTTCCAAAATCTACCCTGACTTTTAACACCCTCCTTGATCAGCCTACAACTCATATCTCTAAGTTTACTTTCCACTACTCACTTCAATATCAATTTATTATTAGTGGTTTCTTGATACTTGTGTGATGAAACCCCCAGAAGGTCCATATTAATTGTGGTAATGTTTTAAYATTTGCATACACAAATGTGTTTTCTCAATTAGCAGCTACTAAAAACTTAAATTAAGATCCTATGCATGACAGCTTTAAAGAAGAATTAAATTATGGCATTTGCCAGTAAATGGATGGAGTTGGAGATTATCATGCTAAGCAAAATAAGCTAATCCTAAAAAACTAAAGGCCTGTTTTCTCTAATATGCAGATGCTAATTCACAACAAGGTTGGGGGTGGGACTAGAGAAGAATAGAGTTACCTTAGATAACTAAGAGGTAGAGGGAAGTGAGGGGAGGAGAGGGGATGTGATGATTGGAAGGATAGTAGAACAAAACAGACATTATTGTTATATATATATAAATACATATAACAATATATATATACATGACCAGTGTGCTTCTACAATGTGTACACTTAGAAAAATGGAAAATTATATCCCATCTGTGTATGATATGATATATCAAAGTGCATAAATGCATTCTACTGTCATGTATAACTAATTAAAACAAATAAAAAAATGAAAAATGAAAAAAAATCAAGGGCTAGGAATATATTTCAGTTGATGGAGTACTTGCCTTGCATGCACAAATCCCTGGGTTCAATCCCCAGCACCACCAAATATATATATATATATATATATATATATATATATATATATATATATATATATATATGTGTGTGTGTGTGTGTGTGTGTGTGTGTGTGTTTGTGTGTATAAAAGCTCCTATGAATGAATGAATGATAATATTTTAATGTTATTAAAAGGGAGCCTTGGATTTGAAAAGATTGGAAGCCACTGTGTTATTTTGGTTTCATTCATTATTCACCAAGTATGTCTCATGCTTTCTTTTTTTATGCCATCAACCACACTTCTCTTTCTATCTGGAAAGTTGCTTTCTTTCTTTCTTTTTTTGGTACTGGGGATTGAACTCAGGGGCACTTAACCACTAAGCTACATCCCCAGCCCTTTTTTGTATTTTATTTAGACAGGTCTCACTGAATTTCTTAGGGCTTTGCTAAGTTGCTGAGGCTACTTTTGAACTTGCAGTCCTCCTGCATCAGCCTCCTGAGTTGCTAGGATTACAGGTGTGTGAAACCATGCCCAGCTATCTATTCATTTTTAAAAAAATTTTTATTGGTGCATTACAATTACTCTTAATACTGGTGATGGCTTCCTCTTCTAATCAAGATAAACTGAATTATGGTTTCTCATTTCTCTAGTGCCTGTCAAAGTGCTTTCTGTCCCTACTTTCTTTATATCTGTATTTTATGTCATCTGTACCTACACTGTCTAATGTCTTATTTCTCTCATTGGATAAAAAATTTCCTAGTAGCAGAAATATCTCATATTCATTTTTAAAAATAACTATTTATTTATTCTTTTATGTGGTGCTGAGGATTGAGCTCAGTGCCTCACACATGCAAGGCAAGCACTCTACCACTGAGCCACAACCCCAGCCCTCTCATATTCATTTTTAAAATTTTACAGATAATGTGTTCTTTCAAACTGTAAATTAGAAGAGACTAATCACCAAAACTGCAGGTAATGTAAAATCATTGATATACAAGTTCTAAATGTCAGAAGCAATATATTCTAAGAGATGGTTTGTAAATATGCTGTCAGGAGGCTAGAGCATCTTCCAAGTCTCCATTGAATAGAAAAAGTATATCTCTGAAATACTAGTGGAGAGAAGTAAGAAAAGCTATGGTTATTGTAACCTTGCTTAAGATCAACAGGTCAAATATAGACAACAGAATATAGACAAAGAAGCAATGAGGAAGCTTTGATTAGGCAATAAGAATCCTCTGGGCACCTGCAGATTTATACCGAGGGGCACTCATGAGTGCAATGATCTTTGTTCTGAAGATCATTCTGCATCTGATCTTAATCTGACATCCAAATATACTTTCTCTTAGGAAAGAATGACCTGATCTGTTAACATGTTTTTCTAACATCTGGTGTGTGTGTGTGTGTGTGTGTGTGTGTGTGTGTGTGCGCGCGCGCACACACACTAACGCACACATGCCTGCATGTAATGTATACATATTGCACTGTAAATAAGTAAGTTCACATTCTGACTTATTATAAAAGACCCATTAACAAAAGTCCATCTTCCATCGACCTTTTAGTCTTACTACACATGAAAAAATGGATAAAATAAATTTATGTGCAAAACTGACAGCTAAAAGCTAGAAAGCACTGCACCATTATTTAATTGCCACCATTGTTTAATTGTTGTCTCTTGCACACTGGAGGTGTGTAAGCAACATGTATGAAGTGAATCAGTGAATAAAAACTGCAACCTTGATTAATATCAACTGAAATCAGTTTGGAGTAGCAAATAATACCAGATTACAGTCCTTTTTCAGAAGTCAATATAGTCACTTTTATTTGTCAACCACTTTCACTATTCATTCAGTAATGCTATTCCCAGCAAGCAGTCTTTTCAAATGTGGTTTAAAAAGACCACAGACTGCATAATATTTTGATCATGTCAATGATTTCCTTGTTTATAGTTAATGAAAACAGTATGTATAATCATGGTATTGCAATCATTCAGGTTTGCTACATGTAAATTATATTTTGAAACATTAAAAAAGTTGCCATCAAATTCAATTTAAAACTTTTCTTTCATTCTTTTTTGATATTGTGTGCAAGCCAAAATTTCCTGGTAGTTACCTGTTTCAACCAAAAAAGCTTACTTAGTTTTAATCAAAAGTAAATAAATTGTCTTTTAAATTATGATTATTTTCTAAATCTTCCAGCTAATGGTAGAATCTTTTAAAAATATTTTCATTAGKGCATTATAGTTATACATAACAGTTAATTTCAATTTGAATGCTCATAAATGCATATAACATAATTTGCTTCATTTCAATCCCCAAAACTTCCCATCTCTCCCTTCCTCCCTCCCCYGACCGCTTTCTTCACTGATATTCTTCCTGTTTATTTATTTTTATGGCATCAATGATAGAATATTTTTAAATATTGAAGAAATTCCAAAATACAAACAAAAGGAATATATTGTATATTGGCAAATATCAAAGAAATCACCATTCCCAAATAATAGAAAAACAGAAAAACTAAAAGCATTTTAAAACACATATCTTTAAACAATTTTATCAATGTATTATGACATTTTGCTCCGTAAATATTTATTGAATTTCATAATCTTATTACAGTAAGTTCTAAGTTTTCAAAACTTTTCTAATTGGAAAAATATTACCTGTTCAAGGCCTTTCATCTATAATGAAGCTAACAAGAACCTGGCATTTTGATTTTTCTTTAAAATTACATCATTTTGTTAGTATACTAAATTTTATTAACTTTGCTTAAAACATATTTTTTTAAAGATTCAACAAACAGGAATCTATTTTTCTGTTTCATGTAACCTTGAATGTTCAATACAATTCATGTATTATATTTCAAATCTTTCAGGTAGAATAATAACTGAGAAATATATTAAGGCAAATTGGGAAGAAATTATTTTTTAAAAAGCTATTGAATTTTCTTGGGGACAAAAAGGACATAAYATGTTTCATTCTTGATCAGATATTAGAAAAATAAATTGTTCTAAGGAAGTATAAGGATATCACTGATGTGAAGAGCATATAGTTATTGGAAAAAGTGTTCTATTTCTAATCAGAGATTAACACCTCCATAGCAATTGCTACAAGTCTTCTGGCTCTGCAGTCTGAGATTTGATCAAATGAGAATTTTTGTCCTTGTTATTCTTTCAACCCTCTTGGCACCTATGGAGCTATGCTGAGGGAGCAAAGACAGCTAGAAAGTGACTGAAATACTTTCAAAATGATACAATCCAGTTCTCTCTGCTGCTGGGCAATTCCTCCTTTATTCCTACATGAATTAGAGGAAATGGTGATTGGAARTTCATTTCTTTTTATGTTTGTTAATTTTGTTTTGTTAATTGACTTGACAGCTTACTATACTCTGAATGCTATTTTGATTTGTTATATGAGTAAATGTGTTCCATTTTATTTTCCACCAAATGAAGTTAATTCAATTAGGGTTTAGAATTTAAAAAAAAAGATAGTCAACATGTATTTTCCTGAACTATAACAAAAATATACTGTTCCTTACCTGTTTCATATATATAATTCTTAATTTATCAACAGGATTCAACATTTTCTCTACTTTTGTGTTTCTATAGCACATATAAAATATTTAACAAATATTTTGAGCCACTGAAACATATTTTAATATGCTAAACAGTCTGTGTAGTTAATTAACAGTAAAAATTTTAATGCCTGATAATACATATAAATTATGATTACCTGGTAGTGATTTAGACCACTTGACCACTGTAAGAAGTTGCCTTTCACATAGTTGATTAAGACTGGTCAGCAAAGAGCTGGAGGTGTCCGGTTTTGTGTTGTCATGTCCTGCATAGACCACATCTGGTTCAATGTTCATCAACAGGCTGATCAGTGAGGGGATCAACTGAATATCTTGACTTGGTGAAAAAGTGATTCTCTGGCTTAGGGCTTGACTTTCATTCGAAATGCCCACTGGCTGAGAGAGAGCAACACCATCCAGTGCTCTCATAACTCTGACTTTATTGAATTTTTTAAACTTTCGACCTATGAGAAGAACAAAGAATGACATATAAATACATACTAACTAAATATCCGCAGTATAATGATTTTCTTAAGCTGTAGAATCACAGCATTATGGATTTTAGCATCAATCCAGTAAAATAAAATAAAATCCAATGTTACATCTTAGATTTGAATTAAATGACATGAGTGTCCATTGGGTTAGTGGGTTATGGGTAATTACACAAGAATCCAGCAGGGGGTTTTGAAACTCTGTGTGAAAAAAGAAATGAAAAAACAAGTAGCTTTTAGTAGAATTACCCTCACTATTCTTCTGACAGGACTGTCTCCCAGAAGCTAATGCTACAGACTACATTAATTGAAGTATAGTTCATAGAAKTTGTTGGGAGTTGTTGGGGTTTTATTCTTTTAAGAAACTTTTAAAATATATGCATATATGCAAACCTCACAAAATTTTTTATTCACTTTTAGCAGGTTCATAGATGTACTGAAATCAAARCATGGACTATTCTGAGACGGAAGGTACCAAAATTAAGAACACCTTTTCTAAATTGAGGGAAGATGGAGTTTGCACCTTGCAGTCCATGCTGGTCAGACACATTTGCATTTCTAAACAATTTCCAGGTTAGGAAGAACAAAATGCCTGATGGTGAGATGAGTAGAATTTGCCTCATTAGGACAGATTGAAGGGGATCATGATGCTGATCCCAGCTGCTGCTACTTCACAGATGTCCTRGCATGAATTAGAGAAAGTCATGAAGACCTGAAGGCATATGTTGTTTAGCCCCCCACCTGCTCTGTGCCATGCATGAGCTGCCTACCAGTGTGAAGCAACTGTGCTGCTTGCTGACTACTTACAATAATCTAGACCTGGTCTGGCTCACAGACATGTTTTGTTTGGCTCATACAATGCTGGCCAGAGTTATAAAAACATCCTTGAATTAGTTAGGTGGCAGTAATCTGTTAAAGCTGTTTCATCTGCTGCTTTTAGATGAGGCATGGGCATTCCAGTCTGCCCAATTCCCACCACCATAGGCCCAGTGGTTAGYTGAAGTTTTACCACCACTCTACCCAGTTAAGTAAGCTACTTGCTGGACTATGTAAACATGGGTCTTTGTGATTTTTGAGTTCAGGTATTATCATAAAGATAAAGGATTCTACTTGTTTTATAAAGCTCTAAAGAGTTGAGCTAGAACTTTTAGGTAACAGTGGAACAATTGTCAGGATCAATATGCAAAAAGAATTCAGAACTGTAAACAGAGTTCCAATGGGTTTCCTGGGGAAGGAATGGGTCACTCGAGGAAAGGGAAATAATATTTATGAAGGGAGCATTTACTAGTGGATGGTAAAAATTTTATATGYGTATCTTTTAAGCCTTATAACAGTCTTGCAAGGTAAGAATAATTAACTCCATTTGTAGATTAGGAAAAGGAAAAGTGGAGACGACGTCTTGCACAGTGYTAGAGTAGTAGATCTCAGATTATGTGGCTCCTAAACCCCAATCCTTCCTAACCCCTGACACTAACTCACTGACATTTCAGCCATGGGCTGCATTTTTATTTGGTAAGATTCTGGCAGAGAGTTTAGGCAAGAGACTGAAGGAAAAAGCACAAAATTTGAATTCAGTAATTTTTAAAGTTGGTTCCAATCCCCAAATAATATGATTAACAGAAAACAACACACCCACCTGAAATCAAACACTGTTTTTCCTTCTAATTTGTTTTTTTTTCTTTATATTCTGCATTTTATTCATAATAATGAAATGCTTAGTATTTAATGTCCTAAGTGTAATTTAAATCAGAAAGTTGGATTCTAAAGAAAAGTCAAATTTAGTACTTACATTTAAGATGTACTGCTTTTATATTTATAAAAAACAAATCTTTATATCTTCTAGAAGGCTACACAGATTGAATATAAAAAATCAAAATTTCCTTCAGTTATCAAAACCAGGTCATTTTATAGTTTAGTGGTATAGTAATTCAAATTGAAAACTTAAATGCTTGCAGTTAAAAAAAAAAAAAAACAGAAAAAAAGGTTAAAAGACTCATACCCACCCCTTCCAGTTGTCCTATTATCATTGTCATCTTTTAGCTATTAAAAAAAATTATTTACAAACCATTTTATTGTGATTCATAACACAATTGAAGCACACAGCTAAAGCACATCTTTGTAAAGCTAATTCCCAGCCCCAGGTGTAGAATGGTGCAGCACCCCAGGAAGCCCTCTGAACCTTGTCCCCTCAGTGGACATAACTAGCCTGCCTTCTGCAGCAATTCTTCCCTTGCTTTTCTTCTTACTCTAATGTATTTTAACTTCCTTTCTCTGTTTTACACCCTTAGGGTGCTCTCTTCATCAGGATTTTATTACATTATGAAATGCTGGAGTCTCTTTGAAAACAGAAGCAAATGCTTGACACACTGATTAAACTTTAGAAAGTATTTCTAAAATAAAATGAAATCCCCAGATAATTTACTAATAGTTCTGCTTATGATCAAGTCTTTTCACAAGCGCTAGGGAAAATATGAAAATACACAATGAACACAAAGTCAAAAAGTGAACTAACTCCAGTCAGAATGGCAATTATCCAGAATATGCATGATAACAAAAGCTGGCAAGGATGTGGGGGAAGTGGTGCATCCAGCAAATTGTCAGGGAAAAGCAGTATGGAGATTTCTCAAAACACTAGGAATAGAACCACCATTTGACCCAGCTATCCCACTCCTTGATATTTATTCAAAAGAACTACAATCAGCAAACTATAGTGATATTACTGCTTCAATGTTCATAGCAGCACAATTCACAATAGCCAAGTTATGAAATYAGCTCAGATGCCTGTTGATAGTTAATGGATCAGGAAAATGTGATACATATACACAAAGGAGTTTTACTCAGTAATAAAGAAGAATGAAATCATTGCATTTGCCAGGGAATGGATGGAACTGGAGAACATCATGCTAAGTGAAATAAGCCAGACTTATGAAACCAAAGACCAAATGTTTTCTCTCATATGCAGAAGCTGGAGAAAAATAAGGGGGAAAATAGCAGGGGGGCGGGTCAGATATCATAAAGATCAATGGAGTAGAAGAAGTAGGTTAAGAGGGAGGAAGGAGGGATGGGAAAGGAAGGAAATACAGAATAAATATAACAAAATCATGCTATATGCATATATAAATATACAATAGGGACTTTCATCTGTATGGTAAATGTATAAAGCACCAATCAAAAATAAATAATGGGAGCTGGGGATGTGGCTCAAGCAGTAGCGCRCTCGCCTGGCATGCATGCGGCCCGGRTTCGATCCTCAGCACCACATACAAAGATGTTGTGTCTGCCGAAAACTAAAATAAATAAATAAATATTTTAATAAATAAATAAATAAATAATGAGTGAAAGGAAGATCAGCAGAGTACAGGAAGAAGAATAGTGGGAGGGAGAAAGGGAGGGTAAGTGGTGGAGAATGTGGACTGAAATGGAGTAAATCAGATTCCATGCATATTTGATTTTGTCAAATGAATCCAACTACTATGTATAACTATAATGCTCCAATTTTAAAAATTAAAAATTTTTTAAAAAGTGAACTAACATTGAGCTAGGTCACTTATACACCTTATCTAATTGATTAAGCCTTTTAAATAAAGATTAGCATTTTAAAGATGAAGGATTAAATCATAGAGGTTAACTGGCCAAATTCATAATGATAATAGATTTACAGAGAAGAGCTATTAATCAAAGGCTATCTTCATTTATTTTTTTATTCAAACACGAAACATTTATTGGCTTCCTGTGCCAGGCACAGACTAAGGTTTGAGACCACAGCAGTAACCACAAAGTGTCTCCTTTTGGGACATCTATATCTGGTGGTAAGATGCAGAAGATAGAGAGGGTCCTTGATGAAAGAGTGAGTTAGTGCTAAACAATGGTACATGTTATGGATAAAAKATATGCACTATAATAGAAAGTGACTTGAAGGAATGGTGTAGCATGTATGGTCAGGGGGAAAATTGGTTAACTTCAAAGCTGGAGGTTTCCATTAGATCCTACGGTTGCCCCTTTCAATGGCCATTATTTCTTGAAGTCCATTGACTAATGACTCTTTGGGAGCTAATCAAGCAGTGGCCATCAAAGGAGAACTTTTCACACCAGGAGAATCATATTTAATAATTTTTAAAAATGTATAGTATTATTAAGACATATTTTCCTAAAGTATTAAATTGCTACAATCTTGCCATATCTATCATCTACCTCCTATCACGACTATCAGTTTGTTCTTCCAAAATACTTGTAGAAGACATAGTAAACCATGCMTTTGTCTGTAGCTTATGAAAGTATTTTAAAAAAATGGGGTTGGCCATATCTGGGTATGGGTCCTGTCATATAAAAACTTCTTATCTGGTATAGATTAGTTTACTTGACCAGATTAGTTTACTTGACTACATATCAATTTACTCATTTTTTTTCAATTAGGGTATATAATAATTAACTTGCAATATCATGGTTAGCCTAGGAAAGATGATGTGTAAAGCTACATAGTAGAGTGCTTGGACTATAGTAGACACAAATGGTAGTCAGGACTTTTGGAACTTGATTGGAAGGAAGTAAGGAAAAAAAGGAAACTATACCTTTGGTTAGTTTTCATTATCTGGTAAAAAATAAGTGTTCCTAATCATATATTCTCCTTTTCCCCCCAATCTAAGCACACAATGGCATCTATGACCATATATAAGACCAGCTGGATTATCACCATTAAAGACATGTCTTTTCCTCAGTGCATCTCACAGCCTTTAATACACTGCATGAATTATGAATTTCTAAGACAATAATATTAATATGTAGCATTTCTCAAGTATATCTTACCTCTTCACTTGATTAAAACCTACTGCCATCTCATAAAAGTAACATCTTAGAAAGCATTACTTTAGAACGTTTTCTTTTTCTGAGTCTTGCTTTCAAGATCAAGCCTATGATTTGGAGCTTCTTATTTCCATTATCTAGTATCTGGTCACAGATTTTTCTCTTTGCAAATT